GTAATGTGATGTTATAATTACAAAAGCTTTTGTCATACAATTTTTACGAGTTCTTGAATATATTTCAATTAAGTTTACGTCGTAAACCAGACAATTGAGGCACAATCCGTGTTCGGCTTCCTTACTTAGTCCACAATCAGCAAATGTTTGCAATGGATGACTAAAGAAGGGGATTCTTGAAAAAGCCTGATAAAAATGAACACGTTTATCAAGTGCATTTAGAAAAACTTTACAACCTGATACCATGGCAATTCGTGTTAGGATAAGGCCAAGTTTCCTGTTGAGGCACAACATTTTACAACCTTTGAGATGACGCTAATTGGATTAGTCCCTTGCTTGGCTAGAACTGGATGCTAGAACTAACTTGTTTCTTATGAAGGCATAAAGTTTAAAAGTGAAATCTGTGTATTTGACGTTTGTTGAGCATAGGGACTAGAACCTTGGAAGGCGAACAATATTAAAGGGACTGAATAGAGCCCAATAGCTCTGGAGGTAAGCTAGCCTCTCTTTTGAAGTGATGAAGCGAACAGAGGGACAAGCCCTATTAACCCCAATTCTGCCCTAATGCAGCACATTGATGGCCTGCCTTTGGCCGTGGGGCATGACGCCCTGACAAGATTGATAGATCATAGCAGTGATTCCCGAACTGTGCACTGCGACACCCCGGGGAGCGGGTGAAAGTAGGAAACTATCTAAACTCTCCTTATCATGACGAGATAGATGGTTGACAAAATAGTCATCGATGTATCTAACCAGCAATTTGGAGTTGGTATTGCTTCTTGCAGGAAGTGTTCCTCCAGTCTTGCCATTTAATTGTTCGCCAAGATGAGCGCCAGGCATGATCTCATCGCTAGTCCTTGTGCTTATTCGCAAAACTTACCATCGAAGGTAAAATATATGCTACTCATGGATAGGTTGATAAGTCTAATAATTGAAGTTACACTTAGCCTTATTCCTTGTGTTATCTCTGGATGCTCCTCCAGAGTTTGCATCAGAGCTTGAATAGCTCCTTAAACAGCAACGTTTGTGTACATAGGCACAACATCCTCTTCTGAAAGTGTCTCCTGATTAATGAATTTCATAAATGCATAAGATTTTTTACATGAATATAGCCTAAAATTGGCAGAGTTCCTTAGCTGTATGCATAAAACACGTGAGATTTTATCCATCATGCTTCCGTTATTATTTGAAATTAATTATAGAGGTACACCCTCCTTGTGAACCTCAGGGAGACCGTAAGCCGCAGGGCCCTTGAATCTCTCTGGAGTAGTGAATTCGTTTTCCACTTCTCCATTTCACCTTTACTTACACATACCTTAAGGGCATCCTTTAGCCTAGTCTTAAATCTTTCTGTTGGATCTTTCAGTAAAGGCCTATACGTGCATTGTCAATTAAATAAACTGGCATTTTTTCTTCATAACTTGACCCACCCATTACTACCACTGCTCTACCTTTGTCGGCAGACATACCAATTAGATTACTACCATACAGATATCTAGAAACCCTACTAAGAGGACAAGCTTTCTTTGCGGTATTATATAGTCAAAATGAAGGATCACCTCCAGTTCAATACTATTCCTTACCTCTTCGGACAATCTATCAGATAAGCTAATTAATTCAGCGAGTATGTCCGGGGAATGGTTTACCACATTTGGAATAGCAAAATAAAATCCCCTTTCCGATAAAAGTACCACACTATCCTCCAGAATTGTACTGGATAAATTGATAATCCTATCCTTCCCCGGTTTGCCACAACCATGGATAGTACGACTTACTTTAGGCGCAAAGTTTCTTGACCTAATTCTTATTCGTAAATTCTGGACTTTCTTATCGTGTATCCGACGAGTCATTCTGTCAGTCGCCTCTCCTAAACCGTCAGCCATGCCAAGTAACTTAATGCAATGTACATCCTTCAATATTTCAGAAATGGATTGCCTAAACCTAGTTTGGGCTCTAATTAGTTTGTGTAGTTTGTTAATGCTTTCCTTGAGCCTAGTTTAACCAAACCACACGATACCTGATCAAGTTCCCCATTTGTGGACGTCGGTAGATTAAAACGTCTACCGAGTAAACAACTCATAGGAACAACATTGAGAAGTACAAATTTTTAAAAATCTAATTTCATTAACCTGCCAGCATATAGTTTTATAGGTTATAGTGTAGCGAGAAGTCGAACCGTACGTACATTGTAGATGCGAAGAGAAACTGGGTTTCGATGAATCTGCCGAGATAACCTTGTTGGGGGGACTTTCATTTCGTGTGAAATTGGATGAAGAAGAAATTCGTTGGTCGATCTCATCAGATGAGGATGGATGAATCCCGTCCAACCAACCAGACCAGACTTACGAGATTACGCAACTCCAGTCATGCCATTCCTTGAGGGGTTAGGACAAGTGGCTTACATGCTTACACATTCATATCTCATTATCTCAACTATACTTGTTTACTGAGTTACACAGTCTCGGTCAGGGCCTTCTTTTGGTTCATTAGGCCTGACATTAGCCTTTTGACAACTCTGATTTAGGACCGGTATTGCGTATAGACGCTAACACGAACACGCACACACTCGAGTAAAAGTAGCAGGACCAGTATGAAAGGTAATTAGCCAAACCAGTCTATATGGAACTATCCAAAATTTTTTATTTTCTCTTGCTTAATTGAGTTTATATAAAAGGTAAGATAGAACCGGATAGTCTTCCTGCCCTAGTTTTAACGTGAGACTTCTACAAAAATGACACCCAGCTCTGAGGAATTTAGTTCTTAACACCAAGAAACGTCACCAATTCAACTTGCCAATGGGCTAAACTGTGCCATATGAATGTAATAAAAACTGGGTTTCGAAGAATCCCCTACTAGCTTGATCTATCCTCTGGCCAGGTTCGTCAGACGACGGACGAAAGCTCAGCAAAAATTCATCGGGGTCGTAGGGCGGCACACCAAGTGTTAAAATAAGTTACAGGGCTCAATCACGAATTCGTAGTAAGGTGTAGATAAAGAAACCTTTTGAGGAAAAATTCAATTGAGAACTGAAACAATTCATTCGTTTAAGCCATAATCCGATTTAGCACTGAAGAGACCTACAATTGTTCATTCTAATACAAATCTGAGGATCACTTCGAAGGTGTTGAGGTGAGGTCAAACTGCATTCAACTCTTGATGAGTATATCTTTTCGGAAAGCAAGGCAATGCATAATTCAATGGAAACATAAGGTCTAACCATATCCTTGTGGGAGAATTTAACTACAAGTCCCCTTAACACCTTAAACAAAATAGGGTGAATATACTTCATACATAAATGATCTACTGGTAGCTTTAAATATCTACTCATAAATGAAAAATCGTCAAATAATTACAAGTAGTACCATTCAGTTTAATAACTAATACGAGTGGCAGATGCTCATCTCCCACAGGTGAGCCGCCTTACCTTGAAATTCCCATCACATTGGCACTCAAGTAACCAACGTTCTTCAGGATGGGATTTATCTTTGATTTTGGTTATGACTTCGAGACTATCAGTAGATCTAGAACAAGAGCTATATTCGCCCTATTTCCTTTAAGGTGATGAAGGACTGGTGGTTTAATTTTCCCACAATCGTATAAGTAAGCTTCACTCTTCAATTTGATTTCATATATCCTGGCTCCTCATCCAGGTTGTACAGGACTGTAGTTTCGGCACTCCCAGCGGGGCTCGAACTTGAGTTACGATAATGCAGATTATAGTCTCAATACGTTGACGACAACGTCACGCTGCCATTAGTGCCATTGGGTCACAGGACAGAAGTGAATTTCAAGGGAAGCCGAGCTTTTCCCCCATCACATTATGTTGTGTTGTATTTGCTCTCAAAATCGACTACATTACTTATTTCATTTTAAGTAGGTTTTACAAATCACGAGCAGATCCCGAATAAGAATTGTGTCCACCCTATTTGGGCAAGTAAGGGCTGAAAGTGGAATTTTCCCACACTGACATCCAAAATCCAATGAAAACCCAAGGCCTCCTCATAACAATGTGGGAAAATTCAATCATCAGCCTTTCGTAAACTTAAAGAAAAAATGTAGAGGACAATTTCGCATAGATTAAGGGCATTTTTGGACATATTTCTTCCCACTTTTGTAGGGGATACCTAAACTGTGGGAAGAATTAACTATTGGGATTAGTATGGTGATGGGCGATTTTTTCATTGATGCACCTTCCAAGGTTTTCCGACTACCGGGCTTCAGCTGAACTTAGTCTGCCTTATCTGGCCAATCAACTAACTGGCAAGTTCTCCAATAACAGCCTGCTTTCATCACCTCTATGGTAGGCCTCCTCCACTTGCCTCAACATGA